GGTTCAAAACATGAAAAAAAAAATATTAGTCCAGGGCTGGGGTTGTGACTCAGTGGTAGAGTGCTCACCTAGGTTGCATGAGGTACTGGGTTTGATCCTCAGCAACACATAAAAATGAAATAAAGATATTGTGCCTATGGGGCTGGGATGTGGCTCAAGCTGTAGCGCACTCGTCTGGCATGCATGCGGCCCGGGTTCGATCCTCAGCACCACATACAAAGATGTTGTGTCCGCCGAAAACTAATAAATAAGTATTAAAAAATTAAAAAAAAAAAAAAGATTGTGCCTACTTACAACTAAAAAGTAAATATTTTAAAAATAGTAGTCCATATTCATTTTTAAAATATTTTTGTAGTAGATGGAAACAATAACTTTATTTTATTTTTATGTGTTTGCTGAGGATTGAACCCAGTGCCTCTCACATGCTAGGCAAGCACTCTACCAACTGAGCTATAACCCCAGCCCCATTCTGTATTAATATTAAAGACAAAAACCAAATGAACATTTTAGTAGAGGCAGAAAAATCACTTGATAAAACCCAGAATCCTTTCAAAATAAAAATACTCAATATACAGGCCAGGCATAGTGGTACACACCTGTAATCCCAGCTCCTCAAGAAACTGAAACAGGAGGATCACAAGTTGGAGGCCAGCCTGGGCAACTTAGACTGTCTCAAAATAAATTAGGGGTGTAGCTCAATGGTAGGGCCCTTACCTAAGGCCTTGCACAAGGCCCTGGGTTTGATCCCCAGTACTGCAAAAAAAATAATAATAATAATAAACTAGTAATTTCTCAACCTAATAAAGGTATCTATGAAAACCCCTAATTTAGTATCATATTTAATATAGAAAAAACAGTTCTTCAGTAGTGAGAGAAGCATGTCCAATCTTACTATACATCCATTTAACTGATACAGATCTTTTTTTGCCAGGCACTAAAACAGACATTTTATTTGTTTAAATTTTTACTGTGGCTCTGTGAACTGGTAACATAGTTACTACCATCTACAGTGAAGTGCCCAGGGCCATTCCAGCTACATATAGTAGTAGAGAGCCAGGACTATTATTTCCATCAGGTGTCTTGTTCTTTATTGGTTGGTTTGTTTGTAAAGTCAAATACTTCAATGATTTACTTTCTTCTGCCATTTATAGTCTTCAGTTTGACCCAGCACCTCGTCGTGGAGAGCCTCATGTTACCCGGCGCACCCCAGACTACTTCCTGTAAATTCCTCCTGGGAAAACCTGCCTTTGTATGTGGAAGTATACCTGGCTTTAAAAAAAAAAAAAAAATTATATATATACATGTATATATATACACATATATATTTAAAAACAAACAGAAAGAGCAACAGTAATCTGTGTGTTTCTGTAACAAATTGTGACCTGTCTTTGGCATTAAACCACATCATGGACCAAAATGTGCCATACTAATGATGAGCATTTAGCACAATTTGAGGCTGAAATTTAGTACACTATGTTCTATATTGTTCAGTCTAACAGTATGCCTGCTGTATTTGTAGTAACCATTTTCCTCTGGACTATTCAAGCAAAAAAGGTAACTAACCACATCTTCCCTGCGCTTACCTGGAAATTTTAGTTTTAGTGTTTAACTGGCATGGATTAAAAAGAGTTGGAGTTTTATTTTTTGTGAAAAATTTCACAAGCTGACTTCCACTTAATCCATTACCCTTTATTTTATTGAAATGTATAATTAACAAAGAAGTCTTCTTGGGAGTATGTTGTCATAACATTATACAGATTTCCCTTCATTTAAACTAAATTACTGTTTTATGTTGATCTGCATATTTCTGTATATTTGTCATGACAGTGCTTGCATCCTATTTGGTGTACTGAACAAATAAACTTTCCATTTTAAACAAAAACATTGGTTTAACTGTGATGAGCATTAAATGGAAGTTTCACTGTTTTGGAATTTGATATGAAATCTCTTGTAGTAAACAGTTCTGTCTAGGTAATTTAATGTTCTTGTATAGTTTATTTTCAGAAAAGAATCCAAACATTAGCTCATATCTTAGACCATTAAAAAGCCATTTTTATTTTTAAACATTATTAATTTATACTAATATATTCAACCACTTCAAGTACAAAATATAAATTTTATGTTGTAACTAAAGAATATGCTATGACTAGGGAAAATTTTTAATACTGAAATGTTATGAACTAGAAACAAATAAATTGGCATCTGAAAGAATTTAGTAGTAGTAGTAAGAGATGGTACTATTCAGATATATAAATTCCAAATCCTTTTTAAAGGGGAGAGTATGGAATCAGTGGTTGAGAGAGAACATGGAAGATGGCACATAGAATCAGTGGTTGAGAGTGAATGTGGGAGATGGCACAAGGGGGGAGAAACTCCACTATTTTTTTAGAAGAAAATTAGCTGATAGAAATAAGTATAAACATCTCAAAATCACAATCAATGTAAATGGACTCAATTAAATAAATAGACTTGGAGACAATATTTTAGAGTATATCAGTACATATGAAATTACCTGATTTCTAAACCTCAATATGTTTTGTGTGGTTTCATTGTGTACCCCAAAATTCACGTGTTGGAAACTTAATCCCCAATGCAATAATGTTAAGGGGAGGGGGGGAACAAGTTCAGTCCTCCCTTGCTCTGAGATCTTATGCCCTTCAGCCTTCCTCCATGGAAAGACAAAAGGCAGCCCTCATCAGATGCCAGCCCCTTAATCTTGGACTTCCCAGCCTCCAGAACTGTAAGAAAGAAATCTGTTTTTTATAAATTATTTAGTCTCAGTTACCCTGTAGCTCACAGAACAGACTAAGATAAAATTGGTACTGAGAACTGGGATTGTTGCTAAAACATACCTGAAAATGTAGAAGGTGGTATCTTTTGAACTAGATAGAGTCTGAGCTAGGCATGGTGGTGCAGGGCTGTAATCCCAGCGGCTAAGGAGGCTTAGGGAGGAAGACTGTGAGTTCAAAGCCAGCCTCAGCAACTTAGTGATGCCCTAAGCAACTCAGCAAGAGCCTGTCTCTAAATAAAATATTTTAAAAGGGCTGAGGATATGGTTAAGTGCCCCTGGGTTCAATTCCCAGTATTTAAAAAAAAAAAAAAAAAAAGTCTGAAAGATTTTGAGGGGCATCCTAGAAAAAGACTAGATTGTTATAATCAAAGCTTTTTTAAAAAAATGTTTTTAGTTGTTGATGGACCTTTAATTTTTATTTATTTATATGCGGTGCTGAGAATGGAACCCAGTGCCTCACACATGATAGGCAAACACTCTACCACTGAGCCACAACCCCAACACCCAGAATCACTCTTAAAGCTCTGATATAGGCTGAGTTCAATCCACAGCACCACATTTAAAAAAAAAAAAAAAGGTATTGTGTTCATCTACAACTAAAAAAAAAATATTAAAAAGTGACTCTGATAAGAGCTCAGAAGAAAAAATGTGGGGAGAGTCTGAAACTTCAATTACTTAAGTGATCATAGAATATTAGTAAAATTATGGATAGTAAAGCCATTCTGGTGAGGTTTCTGATAAAATGAAGAGCAAGGTATTGGAAATTTGAATAAAGTCTATTTTTATTATAAATTTGCTAATAACATGGCCAAATTGTCTCTCTGCTCAGGGTCTTCATAGAAGACAGAATTCAAGAGCAATGAACTAGGATATCTGGAAGGAATTTCTAAACAAAATGATTAAAGGAGCTGTGTGGTTGCCTTCTTGGAGTGTGATTTTGAGATGTCCTTTATTATTGTTTCTTGCAGGCAGCATGTTTGGGTGTTTGTTTTGTTTTGTTGTTGTTGTTTTGTTTTTGTTTTTTTATTATTTTTGATCCAGTACTCTTTGCTTTTAACTGGGGATATGTAGATTATATTTGCATTTAATATGATTATTGGTATGGTAAGGTTTTAACCTGTCATTTTGATGTTTTCTCTTTATCCCATTCTTCTGAACTTTTTGGATTAATTTAATATTTTTTTATTCTGTTTATCTCCTAAATATACTTCTTTGGGCTAAGTATACCTCTTTGGTTTTTATTGTTTGTTTTTGTTGTGATACTGGGTATTGAACCCAGAGGCACTTTACTCCTGAGCTCCATTTCCAGCCCTTTTTTTAAAATTTGAGACGGAGTCTTAAGTTGGTTAGGGCCTCACTTGCTAAATTGCTGAGGCTGGCCTCAAATTTGCAATTCTCCTGCCTCAGCCTCCTGAGTTTCTTGGGATTACAGTTGTACACCACTGCCCCCACCCCCAACACTGTGGGGTTTTTTGTTTTTTTTTGTTTTTGTTTTTGTTTTTTTTAAGAAGTTGCCTTACGGGGCTGGGGATGTGGCTCAAGCGGCAGCGCGCTTGCCTGGCCTGCGTGCGGCCCAGGTTCAATCCTCAGCACCACATACAAACAAAGATGTTGTGTCCGCCAAAAACTAAAATATAAATATTAAAATTCTGTCTCTCTCTCTTTAAAAAAAAAAAAAAAAGAAGTTGTTGCCTTACGATTTGTGGCATGCTTGTTTGGACAGTGTCTTAATAAGTTGCTGAAGCTAGCCTCAAACTTCTCTGGCTCAGCCTCCCAAATTGATAGAGTTACAGATAATGTGCCACCAAGCTCAGCTTCATGGCAAACAGGTTTTTTTGTTGTTTGTTTTGTTTTGTTTTTTGGTGGCGGGAGTGAGGGGGTGGATACCAGGGATTGAACTCAGGAGCACTTGACCACTGAGCCACATCCCCAGTCCTATTTTGTATTTTATTTAGAACAAAGAGTCTCACTGAGTTGCACCTCACTTTTGCTTAGACTGGCTTTGAACTCACATTCCTCCTGCCTTGGTTTTTCTTCTTTTTGAGAGTGGGTATGGTAGCTGTATATGTAAGTACTAGCCTGAGAGGTGTGAGAGGGGGTTGTGTGTTTGTCTGGGTCATATTTTAAGAAGAAACTGCTGTCACATTTTATTACTCCATTCCTGGGTCTGAATATGTGGCTTGCATACACACACACACACACACATATATATTTTGTTTTAAAAAATATTTATTTAGTTGTAGATGAATACAGTATCTTTATTTCTATGTGGTGCTGATCGAACCAGTGCCTCACATGTCAGGCAAGCACTGCACCACTGAGCTACAGCCCCAGCTCTGTAGCATATTTTTTTAACAATATAGTCTACCTTTAAGTGGTATCACACCAGTCCGCAATACCTTCTAATAGTATACCTTAGTGCCACTGTTGTCATACATTTTGAATTTACATATATTAAACCCCATATTTGGGGTTGGGGATATAGCACAGTTGGTACAGTGCTTGCCTCACATGCACAAGGCCCTGGGCTCAATCCCCAGCACCACCAAAAAAAAAAAAAAAAAATATATATATATATATATATATTAAAAACAGTATTTTTTCTTCCTTTTTTTGTGGTGTAGGGATTGAATTTGAATACTGGGCCTCATGCATGCCACTAAATAAACCCTCTAACCCTGAAATAAACCCTCCAACCCTAAAAATTATCTTTTGAGGAGATTAAAAATTAAAAAAAAAATTCATACATTTGCTCATGTAAAATATGTACTTTTTCCAATGCTTTTCATTCCTTAATGTAGATATCTACTTTCACCTGGTTGTTGTCTTTTGCTATAGGACTTAAATGTTTCTTAATAGTATAATCTGCTGGCAATTGATTCCTTCAGTTTTATGTCTTTAAAATATTTATTTCATGTTCATTTGTGAAACATTTTCACCAGGTATAAAGTTGTCATTGTAGAATCAGAGCCCATAGCCTCAAATGGTTCCCTTGTGCTGAGGGCAGGTATTGGAGTCCTAGTTTGTTCTCTGGTGCTACTGCTCCCCCTTCAGCTTCTAGCTTCCCCTGCACACCTGCATCATGGAGAGGTGTCTGTCTCCACACTCTCATTTCTTCCCCAGTTGCCCCAGCAGCATACACTGCATGGCTGCATGTAAGAGCAGATAAGATTCCCTGCTGTCCAAATTCAGTCAGTCTTAGGTGGACCTTTGTGCTTTTGACTTCTGAAGGGAAGTTTTTGTCAGCATTCTTGCTTCTCTTACCTGTGGCAGCCAAGCTTTGCTTTGGCTCTGTAGTTGGTATGAGACTTGAGTTTTCTATCCCATCTCCAGCAATGGTAGACATATGTTTGATGTTTGTGATTAACCCTCTTTCCAGGATAGAGAATCCTTGCATCTCCCCTTCTCTCAGCAGTAATAAATCGTTGCCTGAGTACTGAAAGAGGCAGATGGACTTAGATTCTATTTCTCCAGAAACAGCAAGTCGGCCAGTGCACTGATGGTCATAATGCTTGTAGTACCTTCCCCAGCAGGTTGAGAAGGGTCTAGGGAATCTGGAGCTTTGGTGAAACCTGATCTGATGGAGCAAAGCCTTCTGAGTGGGATTTCCCTTTGTGTCTTAGGCCCACAGTCAGGACTAGCTTCAAATTCAGTTTAATTTCTGCTGTTGCCATCTTGAAACTCTTCATATTTGAGCAAGGGTTTCCACATTTTCATTTTGTACCAAGGCCTGCAAATTAAATAGCTAGTTCTTTTCAACCTTATCTAGTAGTCCAAGCTTGCCTTTAAAAATTCTAAAATCTTGATGTGATAGTATGCGCCTGTAATCCCAACTACTCAGGAGGCTGAGGTGGGAGAAACACTTGAGTGGACAAATTCAAGACCAACCTGCAACATAGAACTTAATCGCAACATATAAACAAGCATTTTTTAAAAGTTAAAATCTTAGCTTGTATAGTAGCTACTCCTGTTCTTTTCCAAAAGGAACACAGTTCCTGTGTCCTGTCTTTCCATGAATTCTTTGGAATTCAGTTTACACAATTGCTTTGCAGCCTCAGCTCAGAGCTCAAAAATGTTATGACTTTGTATATCATCCAGCTGTTCACTGATTTTAGAGTAGGAGCAATATTCTTCATAGCTTCCCATGTCCTAAGCACAAATCCAAAATGCTGTATGATTAGAAATTGTGTTTAGGATCTGTTTCAACTAGCAATTAACTGATAAAATTTAGTTCCTACCTTTTAAAGAATTTCACATTTAAAAAAAATTTCCTTCAAGAAAAGGTATTATTATGGTTTTTATTTTCCCTTTCCCCCACAACAAACTATATCGTAGTGTCACTGTCAGAACCTAAAATGACTTTGTTAATAACATGACTATTGAATTAAGCTTAGACGAGGACTACCCACATCATTACAATGAAGGAGCAAGTTTACAAAATAAAGCATGATGTATGATGAAAGGACAAAATTTTCTAAGAATCTCTGGCCTCAACTCTAGAGAAGCTGAGTTTGAGTTCATATAGTTAATGTCTCAGCAACTACCAGGGGCTTTCACTATTAACCTCAATACACTCTCACCTGACCACTTTGTATACTGTTTTGGAAGTACTCAGAAGCATATTTAATGTACTTAAGATGTAGCTTTTACATTTTGTTTTACTTCACTGAAGCATATTATTAAAAACTTTAGTAAAACAGGCTAAGTTAAAATAGGATTTGAGTTATTTTCCTTTCGACATTCAAAAAAACGAAAGCTTTAGTAAGTCACAGTTTCTCATAGGTCGCGTAACAAGTTTACAAATTTATGGGATCCTTTTTTATCTTAAAGCCTATTAAAACCTTTTAACATTCAAATCATGGAAATTTTTATAGAAAGTATAAAAGGATCCCATATACTTTAGTTTTAATATTATCTATACTCCTACCTATTCACCTCACTCCAGATTATTTTGAAGCCATTTTTTACCTATAGTTTCTATCATATTCTAAAATATATATTTATTTTTTTAGTACCAGGGATTGACCCCAGAGGTGCTTAGCCACTGAGCCACATATCCTCCCTCCCACCCCCATTTTTGTCCATTTTGAGGCAGGGTCTGTTCCTTAGGGCCTCGCCAAGTTGCTGAGGCTGGCCTTGAACTTTTTTTTTTTTTTAATAATATTTTTGTTGATAGACCTTTATTTTATTTATCTATATGTGGTGCTGAGAATCGAACTCAGTACCTCACACATGCTAGGCAAGTGTTCTTATCACTGAGCCACAACCTCAGCCCTGGCCTCAAACTTTTGATCCTCCTGCCTTAGCCTCTTGTGTTGTTGGGATTACAGGCATGTACCACTAGCTAGTATATACCTTTAGAGATAAGGATTCTCTTCCCACTTACCTTTCCTCCTCCTCCTTCCCCATACTCTTGTCACACCTACAAAAAATTAATGATTTTTTTCCACCTCATTGCTAGATGGTTATGGGTCATCAGTAGTTCCATCTCCCTGTATTAAGAATACTGCTGGGTAGAGAGGGAAGAGGGGAGGGGAGGGGAGGGGAGGGGGGATAGTAGGGGATAGGAAAGGTAGCAGAATACAACAGTCACTAATATGCCATTATGTAAAAATGTGAGTGTGTAACCGATGTGATTCTGCAGTTTGTATTTGGGGTAAAAATGGGAGTTCATAACCCAATTGAGTCAAATGTATGAAAGATGATATATCATGAGCTTTGTAATGTTTTGAACAACCAATTAAAAAAAAAAATACTGCTGGGGCTGGTGCTGTAACTCATTGGTAGAACACCTGCCTAGCCTGTGTGAGGCACTGGGTTCAATCCTCAGTACCACATAAAAATGAATAGAAGTATTGTGTCCATCTACAACTAAAAATTTTTAAAAAAGGAATACTGCCTTTTGTAACCAAGGAAACAATTAAGTATCTCTATTTTTAGCCTTTTAGTGTTGCACGCAACTGTAAATGTTGTGTTAAAATGTCTGAGTTGGGCATATAATCCCAGCAACACTGCAGAATACAGGAGGATCCTAAGTGTTGAAAAACTTAGTGAGACCCTATTTTTTTTTGTTTTGTTTTTTAATATTTATTTTTTAGTTGTAGATACAATAACCTTTATTTATTTTTATGTGGTGTTGAGGATTGAACCCAGGGCCCCGCACGTGCTAGATAAGCACTCTACCCCTGAGCCACAACTGCAGCCCAATGAGACCCTGTTTTAAAAAATAAAATGGTCTGGGGTGTAGCTCAGTGATAGAATATGCCAGGGTTCAACCCCACTTTATCACTACTCCTCCCCCGAAAAAGAATGTCTGCATTACCATGCCAAGAAATGGCCCTGAAGATTTTTGTGTTAGAGATTGGGGTGATGGCCTGGCATGGTGGTGCACGCCTATAATCCCAGCTGTTCCAAAAGCTAAGGCAGGAGGATTTGGAGTTCAAACAACTTAGCAAGGACAACTTGGTGGGACCTTGACTCTAAATAAAATACATAATAGGGCTGGGCATGTAACTCAGTGGTGGAGTGCCCAAGTTCAATCCCCAGTACCAAAAAAAAAAAATTGGGTCAATGAAGCCAGGCACAGTGGTTCATGCCAGTAACAATAGTGACATGGAAGATAAGGCTAAAGCAGGATAGATAGCAAATTCAATGGCAGCCTCAGCAACCTAGCAAGACCCTGTTCTCAAAAGGGACTGAGAGTTGGGTGTGATGGTAGAGGCAGAAGAATTACAAGTTGGAGGCCAGCCTCAGCAACTTAGACCCTTCTCAAAACAAAAAATAAAAAGGGCTGGGGACATAGCTCAGTGGTTAAGTGCCCCTGGGTTTAATCCCCAGTACCAAAAATAAGAAATAAAAGGGACTGAAGAAGTAACAGTAATAAAGCATCCCTGGGTTCAATCTCCAGTGTGGGGGGAGGGGAGGATTATTCTAGGCCCTGGGGGCAGGGTATAGCTCAGTTGTGATTCTCCTCAGTTCCTAAGGCACTGGCATTAGAGTGTGCCACTGTTGTTACAGTTTAATACAAGGAAAAATTGGACTTTGAAGTTTTGACATTTTTAATTTTGAGAAATACAACAGAGTAAACACTCCAACTTATAAGGTTTTGAAAGGTTTGATTGGATTGTGAAATATATTCATTGTGGCTGGGAGTATAACTCAGTTGGTGGATTGCTTGCCTCACATGCACAAGGCTCTGGGTTCAATCCCCAGCACAAAAAAAGAAAGAAAGAAATATTAATTGTGTGGTAAAATGGATTGAAGAGAAAGAAACTAAAGGCCTATGACTTTGGGGTATTTTTTTTTTTTTTTTTTTTTTGTTACCAGGGATTGAATCCCCAGGAGTGCTTAACCTCTAAGCCACATTACTAGCCTTTTTATTTTTTACTTAGAGACAGGGTCTCGCTAAGTTGCTTACCACCTCACTAAATTGCTAGGCTGGTCTTGAATTTGCAATCTTCCTGCCCATCCTGCCCTTCCTGACTGTTTTTTTTTTTTTTTAAGTTTTTAACTGATTTTTTAAAAAATTTCTTTACATACATGACAATAGTGGAATGCATTACATTCATAATTATCCATTCACAGCACAATGTTTCGTAACTCTGTTTTTAACATACTGAGAAATGATATGAAGTAGGAAAATATAAATTATTGTGTCCCTTATAATATACATTTTTTACCTTATTCAGTACATTATAGATGGCACATTCTACAAATCATGATATAAAGAGAACAATTCTTTTTTAAATTTTATGTCAATTATTTTTCCATGGATAACAACATTAGTGTTCACTGCCTTGAGCTCAATCAAGGTATGGCATGATTTTAATGTGGATCCTTTATTGTCCTGTCAAGGTCATGGCATAACTGATTTTAAGTAGAACAGGTAGTTTTCATTTCTTTACTAGTTGCTCTGCTCTTTCTCTTCCACATTAAGTACAGTATCCACGGTTATTCCTATATCCGCCAGTGACCTATCTCGCTCCACTTCTAGTGGCCTTCTAGGAAAGGATGTGGAAAGGCCATATAGGGATGTATGGTACCCAATTTTCATCATCCAGTCAAGTAAGACCTAGAAGATAAAAAGCTTAGACATTATCGAATATTGTACACACTTATGGTCCTCCAGAACACTATGACATTTTATAGTTCTGTTGCTGTGAAATTATGTCCTTAGGAGTAATGATATAGAACTTTCAGGGTTGGGGTTTGTAGCTCAGTGGTGAAGTGCTTCCCTCGCATGTGTGAGACACTGGGTTCAATCCTCAGCACCACATAAAGATAAATAAACAAAAGTATTAAAAACAAATAAATCTTAAAAAAAAAAGAACTTTCAAAGATATTTCCTTTCTAGAGTTTAAAGGAAATTTATTTCATGAATTTTGAGATGTGAATAACTTCTAATACCTTTTGTTCCAGAAGAGTTATAGGGACTAATGGCATTTAACAACTGAGACACTTAAGTTAGGAAAGCCTCATTCATACATATAGAATGGAAAGAGGATTCAATAAAGAGGTTAAGAATAAAATATTAGCTAGGCACAGTGGCACATGCCTGTGATCCTACCAACTCTGGAAGCTGAGGCAGAAGGATCACAAGTTCAAAGCCAGCCTCAGCAACTTAGCGAGTCCTTGTCTCAAAAATAAAAAGGACTAGCTGGGCGCGGTGATGCACGCCTGTAATTCCACAGGCCAGAAGGCTGAAACAGGGAGCCAGCCTCAGCAAAGGTGAGGCACTAAGCAACTCAGTGAGACCCTGTTTCTAAATAAAATACAAAATAGGGCTGGGATGTGGCTCAGTGGTAGAGTGCCCCTGGTTTCAATTCTTAGTACTAAAACAAAACCAAAGGGATGTAGCTTATTAGTATAGCATACGCCTAGCATGAAGCCCAGGGTTTCATCCCCAGCCAAAAAGGCCTCCAAAAAAACAAAATAAAAATAAAGTTATAGTAAAGGGAATAAAAATTTTAATACAGAGGGCTGGGGTTGTAGCTTAGTGGTAGAGCACTTACCTAGCATGTGTGAGGCACTGGGTTTGATTCTCAGCACCACATATAAGTAAGTAAATAAAAATAAAGGGCCATCGACAACTAAAAAAATGTTTAACAAAAAAAAAAATTGAGGGGCTGGGGTATGTTTCAGGGGTAGAGCGCTTACGTAGCATGTATGAGGCCCTGGGTTTGATCCTCAGCACCACATAAAAATAAATAAATAAATAAAATTAAGGTATTGTGTCCAACTACAACTAAAAAAAAAATATAAAAAAAAAATTGAATGCAGAGATCACAATTCAAAGAAGCCTACCATGTCTACATATCCCAAAATCTGCCAATGTCGAGTACCTACAAATGTTCTTTATCCTTATCTGATGGGAATAGCAGATGACAGTGTGATAACTCCCCGGATATTTGCCAAATTCAAGAAAAATATTCCTCATAATGCAAATATCCTCACCTGTGAACTCCAAGACTTAAAAAACCTTCTCCTTAGGACTTTCCCACCTAGACATCGGAGAGCAACAGTAACTACCTGAGAAATAAAAATGTTCAGATAAGAATTCCAATTTTTAAAAAATCAAATCCATAGCTCTTTAAGATTCCAAAATTACTACTAAGAAACACATGTTATTATAAAAATTCACGTGGAGATTTGCAGGAATTTGCAACATCAAGGTCCAGATAAATTTCCCCCTAAACATGAAAATAATTCTTCTAAAACTGAAAAATAAACATCTTTCTACTAATGAGGAAGTGAAAGCTTTCCAAAGAGGACACCAGAGACCAAGTACTTTTTTCTGGGCAAATACTATTAAGATTGTAGCTTGTTTGAAAAGTAAGCGAACAAACAAGAAGACCTAGTGCCACTTTCTCAATGTACAGACAAGAAAACACTACCTGGAAGGAAACAAAAAGTTGCCTGCATACTCCGATACTATAGGCCACACACTATCTGTCCATCCTCCCAAGTAAGTGAGAGTGTTTGAGCAGCTCCAGCTTTTCTTCATCTACTGAATTCCCTCTATGATCATCCCTTTAATAAAGCACTTAGGCAGTTAAAAAGAGCTTGGAAACTGCTAGTATATTAAAGTCCATCATAAAAAGAGAAGACAATGATTAGTAACTTATACTGAAGTTCATTATGTACCTGCCAGTTGCTCAAAAGTGCCAGGAAACCCTTTCTTGTAACCAGCATCATTAACTGTCCTGAGAGCTACTGGGCATCATGTTATGTATAAATGTGGTTTTAGAGCAGCACACCTTCCCATCTCAGGAGACCCATGCTAGAAAATGCATCCACTGAGCTGGGGACGTTGCTCAGCAGTCAGAGCGCCTGCCTAGCACGTGAGAGACTCTGGGTTTAATCCCTCGTACTTGAAAAGAAAAGCAGCAGTAATTAAAATTGTTTCCCTGCTACTCCTTAAAATGAAATAAGATAGCATACAATAAAACAGTTGCTATAAAAATGTGGTAATATAACATGATGATTTACAAAATTATTTTCAAATTATTTTAAATTTTATGGTTATTTTTAATTTAAAAGTGGAACAGTAGCGGTAAATATTTCAATTGGGAATCGTGAACTACCACCATTATTTTCTCCTTTTTGAAAATCTACCCAGCTTAGTATTTTATAATGATATATCTATAATACTAAATATGTAACAGGCACTGAACAAATCAGGGTGTACTAATTAAATAAAAATTACACTGTTTTTCAGATCCCTCCCTCTCCTATCAGAAATCTATGTTAATCATTAGTTCACTCTTCTATTAGTCTGCTCCTAAATCCAAGCAGGTTTCCAGTATAACAGGAATTTTCTCATGTGGCTCATTATTATAAAGTCAGCTACAACATATACAGAAAAAAACAAATACACACACACACACACAGAGAGAAAGAAAGCCTCCTCTAATTCTGATTTTTTGTTTTTTGGTACTGGGGAATGAACCCAGGAGTACTCAACCACTGAGCCACATCCGCAGCCCTTCTTTTGTATTTAGAGACAGGGTCTTACTGAGTTGCTTAGGGCCTCGCTAAATTGCTGAGGCTGGCTTTAAACTCAAAATCCTCCTGCCTCAACCTCCAGAGCTGCTGGATTACAGGTGTGCACCACTGTACCCAGCTAGTTCTGATATTCTTTAAAATGAATGTTAGTCTCATTTCCTAACAATACAAAATTATAAAGATTATTCTATAAGTAATGTCATTTAGTAAGTCTAATTTTAATTAGGAAATAGAGAATTTCCTAAAACTTATAATTTCCAGTATTCTTAAAAGTGAAAATATTTTTGAGGGGACTAGAGTTGTGGCTCAGTGGTAGAGCATTTGCCTGGAATGTGTGAGGATCTGGGTTCAATCCTCAGCACCACATACAAATAAAAGAACAAAAGATCCATTGAAAACTAAAAAAAATTTTTTTAAAAAGTGAAAATATTTTTTACATATATACTCATAAAAGTATGTAGGTCAGGAGCAATGTATTACAGGAGCAAGCTTAATGTGTATGATGGTATGCAATGACATGTAATGATTATGATACCAGATCAAAACTGTTGACAAAATAGGAAACAGCATTTTAAGAAAGTCAGAAACAATATGACTGCATGATTTACAAAAACAAACATCCTCAAATCTTTAGTAAGTGTAGTATAACCCATTCCTCACTCTACATGTGCCTTTTTACTTTAAAAATGTTTTTTTAGGGTGATAGGGTGGAAGGTAGGTTAGAAAGGCACAGCCCCAAAATAGATTGCTTTATTTCTCTTGTTTTTAACTTTTATGACAATGCTTACAGTCTATTTTCATTGTTCTAGTGGCAGGGAGCAGGGGGAATGCTACCATAGAGAGAAACAGAGGCAGAGAAAATTTGAAGGGACCAGTAAAACCAGAAACAACCAAGTTGATCTCAAATAGGGTCAGATCTAGGTCTAACACACACACACACACAAAAAAAAAAAGTAACAAAAAAGATAGGTTCATGAGAATACAATTACTAAAAGATGAGAAGGGACATTTAAAGATATCAAGATTGCAAATGGTTAGTGAGGAAATAAAGATTTTTGCACTGAATTCTTAAAAATGCTAGGTAGCAACTGCACAGACTATATATGCTCTGTTCAATGATTCTAAGGTGGTCATGGTGGTACATGCCTGTAATCGTGGCCACTCAGGAAGGCTGAGGCAGGAAGATCCAAGTTTGAGGCCAGTCTGGACAACTTCCCAACACTCTGTTTCAAAAAGTAAAAAGCATTTGGGATGTGGCTCATTGGTAGAGCGCCTCAGAATTCAATCCCCAGAATAGAAAAAAAAAAAAAAAGAGAGAGAGAGAGAGAGAAAGAAAGAAAAAGAAAAGCCAGACATGGTGGTACACGCCTATAATCCCAGCAGCTCAGGAGGCTGAGGCAGGAGGGTCACAAGTTCAAAGCCAGTCTCACAACAACAAGGCTCTAAGCAATTCAGTGAGACCCTGTCTCTAATAAAATACAAAATAGGGCTAGGGATGTGGCTCAGTGGTTGAGTGTTCCTGAGTTCAATCCCTGGTACCCCCTTCCCCTAAAAAAGATTCTAACAAAATAAAAATATTCTAATACTTCTTAATCCTTTTAAGGCTAACAAACATGAGAATCTGAAGAAAAGCATTGTCCTTGTATCTATAAAAAGGACAATTATTAGAGATTTCACTGAAAACCAATATCTATAATCCAACAAGAATAATGTCACATGCTTGAAAGACATGATAAATTCAAAAAAGGCCTTTCCTATAAAACCCAAAACTATATTTAATTACTATTATGTTTTTAAACGGTTGTCATGGATACCAGCCCAAAGCTTGAGAAGTAGAGATCAGGGCAAACATACTTATAGCATGAATTTGTCAGGCATAATGGCAGAATTAAAAGTCCTTAATAATTTTCAAGGAATATAATTGTTGCCAGACTAAAAAAAATAGAAAGCTATGAAGAGTTCTCTCTCTGAACATATTGTCCAAATAACACATGCTCGGCCAAGAGCAGTGATAAACACCTGTAATTCCAGAAACTCGGGAGGCTGAGGCAGGAGGATTGCAAGTTTGAGGTCAGCTTCAGCAATTCAAAACCCTAAGCAACTTAGCAGGATCCTGACTCAAAATAAAAATAGAAAAAAAAAAAATTTAAAGGGTGGCTGGGGAGGTGGCTCAGTAGTAAAGCACCCCTAGTTTCAATCCCCAGTACCAAAATAAAACAAAGATACATGCACTCCCTGTATTAGAACAAGTGCTTATAACTATGCTGGCCAATGGCAGCAAGGCAGTGCACACTGTAACAAAGCAGGTGGGAAGAAGCCGCTCAGTGAAGCGGGGGTCAATTGCACCCCAGATCCTGTAACAGTGAACCATTCTTAAAACACAAAACATGCTGTAGTCTTCATCCGCTCTTCCTTAACGGAGAACTACCTTTGAAGCCATTTGTCTAACATGATTGTTTTAGTAAGCAGGTTATTTGCTGAGGCAGTGGTTAGTCTCCATAAAACAACTCGGAAAAAAAGCAGGCTTCAAGACCACGATTCAGCTGCCGAATTTGAAATTACCCCAAACTCAGAACAAGACCTCTTTACAGTGCAATCCCATGAACACTTCTGCTGTCTTCTCCCCAAACCCAGGTTTAGATAAGTCATACATGTTTACTTAGTATTAAACAGGAACCAGAAAATATACTTAATTTTCCAAGAAGCTTACTTCTTCAGTTGTTTCAGAAGGTTCTTCAGGTAAATCAGGAACCTAAAGAATTAGGGAGAGAAATGGAAACATTTTCAAGAAGCAAAAAATAATTGCAATGAGAAAGTTTCCTTTTGCCAGGCACAGTGACACATGCCTGTAATCGCAGCAGCTTGGGAGGCTGAGGCAGGAGGATCCAGAGTTCAAAGGCAACCTCAGAAACTCAGCGAGGTCCTAAGCAACTCAGTGATACCCTGTCTCTAAATAAAATACAGAAAAGGGCTGAGGATGTGATTCAGTGGTTTAGTGCCCCTGAGTTCAATCCCCAGTACTAAAAAAAAAAAGTTCCTGTCAACATGACACATCTAAGCTTAATAAAACTAGACCCAGTGACTGATTGCTAACCCATTCCCAAGAAGGGCCAGACAGGAAAATTATATATTATCATGTTAATACAGGTTGATATAGAGTGTATATGAAACACAAAATTGAATTTTGTGTTTCATATACACTCTGTATCAACTTATCCCCAGATAGGATCTCATTATGTATATGCAAATACTCCAGGATAAAAAAATCTGAAAACACCATCCCCTAAGCATTTCAGAAAAGAGCATACTCAGCCTGTAATAGGTGTTGGCCACTCACAAAACATGGCATAATATGTCTTAAGCTACCTAACAGGAATGATTCACTTAAACGCTGTATATATTTAGTTTTCTTTTTCTTTTTTTCTTTTTTTTTGCAGTACTAGGGATCTAACCCATGCTCTCAAACATGCTAGCAAGTGCTCTACCACTGAACTACATCATCAGCCCTTTCTTATTTCCTTTTTTTTTTTTTTAACGGTACTAGGTATTGAACTCAGACCCTCCCATACTGAGCTGTATCCCCAGCCATTTTTTTGTTTTGTTTTGTTTAACTTTGAGGCAGGGTTCAAGTTCCCCAGAGTAGCCCGGAACTTGTGATCCTCCTATCTCAGCCTCCCAAGGAGCTGACAGGCATCCAACACTGTGCCCAGTGTAAATGCTATACTTTACTTTTCTACATAATCAAATTTCTTCCTCAAAGAGAACAAAAGTATTTTCTAAACCTGTTATCATTTATCCTACAGCTTTCTTCTAAGTTTGGTTCAGAACCTTAATATTAAATAGGATAAGTGATTTTTTTAAATATTTATTTTGTTAGTTGGACACAATACCTTTATTTATTTATTTTTTTGTGGTACTGAGGATCGAACCCAGGGCCTCGCATGTGCTAGGCAAGCACTTTACCACTGAGCCACAACCCCAGCCCCCGGATAAGTGATTTATAATGAAGCTGACTGACTTTATAAGGAGGTGGTAAGACACCATTTGGGTTAAGACAGTCTTCACCTTTCCCCAATATACCACCTCACCAGAGAACCCTATTCCTCCTATGCACTGATACAATTCAGTAAGTGGTGTTAATCGAAAAACCTGTTTCTGGGAGGGCTGTTCAGCAGATGTCGAATCTTCGGCTTCGGTTAGAAGCTTAGGCAAGTTCCGCCTCTTTGCAGCTTGTCTGTTGGTTGTTTCAAAAGATGTCTGACTTGTGTTTTCAAGCACTAATTCTTCATCACCCTGCTCAAAAAACAACATACAATTTCTAAAGAGACTTTGTATTGATTTTATTCTATTCTAATCACAATGATTTTTTTTTACTCTGATGGCATTTCAGTAGAAAAATATTAAGATACTATTACACTCAGAAAATGAAAGCAATATGTCCTTGAACAAGAAAATACGGGGCTTAACATCTTCCAGAAACAACCCTTATCCATCAAAGTTCTGAGATTCCCTCTGATAGACAAAAAGCTGATGGGGACCCTTTCCCTCTCTGACTAATCCCTAAGTTTCTCAGTAGGATAGGAAAAAAGAAAAAATTCTGAATGATATCCTTTCCACCTTTTCAGCAAAAGAAAGCGGCAGTACAAGGGAGTTGCCTTCAAAGACTGTGCAAATAGAACATGTATAAAAAACATGCCTTTAAAAAAAATAGTTTTTAGTCATAGATGGGCACAATACCTTTATTTATTTGTTTATTTATTTATTTATTTATTTTTATGTGGCACTGAGGATCAAACCCAGGGTCTCTCACATTCGAGGTGAACCCTCTACCCCTGAGCCACAACCCCAGCCCCTATAAAACATGTCTTTGTAAGTGACCATGCAAGACTTCTATACCCAAAATGTGGCCTTGGTATCTGGTTATATATAAACATATTCTAGTTTTGAAACTCAAACTTTGACTTTCCATTTTAATTAATCACTCTAAGAGGCAAAGAATTTTATTCCAGAAAACTATTCTTCAATATTATCTATTAAAATGTTCCTTTAACAAAATAAATGTAGAGTTCTCAAATACATGCTTATTAGTTCAATAATTCCTTCCTTCTACAGCTACTAACCTAAGATAAAAAGTTCTCTTTATCAGTCTAAAATGTTCATCATTTGGTAGGGTTTCATCCCCTTTCCTTCTTCCTAAGAAAGTTAGCTGGGTGTGGTGATGCACCCCTATAATCCCAGCAACTGGCAAGTTCAAGGCCAGTCTGGGCAACTTAATGAGACCCTGTCTCAAAATAAAAAATAAAAAGGGCTGGGTAAAGCACTCCTGAGATCAATCTCCAGGACCAAAACAAAGCAAACAAAAAGAGAAAACTTGGTGGAAGGAGCATGGGGAATGAGAATCAAGGGATCTTAATGCCAAGTAAATGGCCAAGCCCAGGCTGCCTCACTGCAAGCTACAAAGTTAAAAGCTGACAGATTTCAATGTATGATACATCAAGATCATTGTACTGTCATATATAACTAATTAAAAAAAAAAGTTGACAGATTTTGACCCTCTCACATTGTGATTGTCATGTTCTTTTGATAGTCCTCAGGGCCTTACTCATAACCACACCAACAGTTTAACCTGCCCAGGGCTTTCTGATGTCTCCACTAATCAGTTTAAAATATACACCAGTGGTACCAATGAAGACAGAATCTAAAAACAAGGGGCAGAATGTCTAATTCATCTTGTGACCATTTCTGAGAGACAGATCAGCCTAAAATCAACCTATCAGATAGCTGATAGTATACTCCAGTAGTCCCAGCTACCTGGGAAGCCGAGGCAGGAGGAGTGCTTGAGCACAGGAGTTCCAGACCAGCCTAGGCAATATAGCCAGGCCCCATCTCAAAAATAAATATACGTATGTGTGAGTGTGTTTGTGTGTCTGTATGTGTATATACAAAATCAACCTATCAATGTCTATCAACCACAAAACTGAAGAAAAGAGAAACTCAAGTGAAATCGCTACATAAAACAGTTGCATTTTATGTTGCCCATTTTTCACATTAATCTACCCTTGCTTATGACATATTTGTCATTATGAAATGAATAAAAACATCCCAGTTGACTCTGAGGTAAACATTATGGGCCTTACATATATGATCTGTGGTCAGATACTCTACAATTTCTTTATGAATATTCTTTTTTCTCTGTAAGAAAACTTAAAATTATAAACTTGGATTAGCAAATAGCAAAATCTCTCCTTAATGACAAAGGAAAAAATAACCAAAGGATAATTAGACTTTTAAAACTGAGCCAAACATAATGAATATAATGTAAACTTAACACTTTAGAGATCTTACTTGAGAAAAGATGAGACTTTCCTCAAAATAGTAATTTATTCAATATTTTTCTCAAAGACTAGCTTGTAATAGTTTTGCCAAGATTACGTTCTTTAGGTACCAAAACCACTTAACCACTTGATACACAATTATGATGAATAAACACTCATATATAGAGCCACCTTAGTGACGACACCTATAATCCTAGCAACTCAGGAGGTTGAGACAGGAGGATTTCAAATTCAAGACCAGCCTCAACAACTTAGCAAAATTCTAAACAACTTAGTGAGACCCCGTCTCAAAAAATAAAAAAGGGCTAGGGATATAGCTTAGTGGTAAAGTGCCCCCCCCATTCAATCCCTAGTACCAAAACAAAATAAAAAAGCAAGTCCTAGTGATGCACACGCCTGTAATCCCAGGAACTTGGTAAACTGAAACAGATGGATTGCAAGTTTGAGGCCAGCCTCAGCAACTTAACAAGACTCTATTTCAAAATTGAATAAATAAAAAGAATGGGAATGTGTTCAGTGGTAAAGCATCCCTGGGTTCAATCCCTAGAACCAAAAATAATAGGTTCTATCTCTTGCCATGTGATACTCTGCATCACCTTGGGGTTCTTCCAGCAAGAAAGCCTCGCCAGATGTGGTTCTTAAACCTCCAGAATTATGAACTAAATAAACTCTTCTTTACACAATAAAACAAAAACACAAGCGATACACAGGGCTGGGGATGTAGTACCTGCCTGGTATGCATGAAACTCTGGCTTCCATCCTCAGCAATGCCCCCCCCCCACAAAAAAAAAACCAACCCACAAACCTATATATAATCATTATTAATGAAAACTTTGAAAAAACAAATAGTACTAATAGCCTAACATTTTCAATTTATAAAAAATACATAAAATAAAACATAATTAATAATTGACTTCTAATATAAAATGAGAATATTTTCTAACCCCAAGTTTGTGACCGCCGCTTAACTTCCAGGTTTCACCCGTCATTTGATAAAAGTGCTCTTCCAGTTTTTTCAATCTCATTTCCTGATGAGGTTTTAAAACATTCTCTATGTATCTGCTGGCCTGTTTGAGAAAACAAAGTAGGTGTTGTTACTATTCATAAAAGTTCCTAAAAGCTTATATTGTCTACAAAGTTGTAAATAAAAGCCAGGGGAAAACTGAATTTTCACACTAATTCAATTTTACCTCCATTTTAGCATCATTTTCTAAAAATTCCAATTTGTATGTAATGCAAGCAAAAACAAATGTTTTATACTTAAGTGACATTGAACTTATATAGTCTTTATGTTTTCAATGCCAATTTTATTTTTTAAAAATACATGGAGCTAGGGGTACTAAAGAACACAGAGCATTATTCCCTAATTTCTAGGATCTAAGTCTGAGCAGTTTGTTCAAGACACAAAGCCTTCTCATGTTGTCAGATCTACAAGGCATGAACTCATTCAGAAGAGTGTTAAAACAAAATATTTTAAGGATGGAAAGAACTGGAAGCTAAGCATGGTGGTGCCTTTAGTCCCAGCTATTTGGATCCAATGACCCTACCAGTTTGAGACCAGCCTGGGCATCACAGCAAAACCAAAATCCTAAAGAGGACTGGGGATGTAGCTCAGTGGTAGGGCACTTGCCTAGCATACTGAAGGCCCTGGTTTTGATGCCCAATACCACACCACAAAAAAAAAAAAAAAAAAAAGGCTAAAGAAAACAAAACTGAAAACTTTTGGAAATCACCCCAATACCACCATGGAAATAATAAAGAGATATTCAAATTCCATCACTGATAAAACAAATAAACACCATAACCCCCAAACCACTTTTATTATGAAGATAGGTGGAGGAGAGGTAACTGACTTAAGAGTCAGAAAGCTACACCTGAAAAGCTTACGCAGGAGGACAACAATAAGAAAGCAAGCCAGTGTTCTCCACAGACCCTAGAATAGCTCAGGAATAAGAGATGCCAGATCCCTTGGCAGAGATCCAGGGTGAGGTGCACAGTTAAAAATAGGGAGGGATAGGGAAGCCATGCATGAAATGATGATGAATTTGTAATGAACCGAAGATTATGACTATTATAACTTGCTGCACCTGAGGCAATAGGGGAAAAAGAGGGGGGGAGATAAAGTCCTACTATATCCCCAGACCCACTTCCATACTACAGCCAGCCAGGGATGGAAGGTTTACTCTTTGTGAAAATAAACCAGAGAGAGTAATCACTGATCCCAGCCCTTAGTGGACAGCATAACTGAAAAGTACAACTAAGAATAAACTAAAACGTAAATGCTGAAAGGTGAGATTCACTTCCTCACAGGACTCAAAACTATTGACCCTCAGGCATTAACCCCTTAGGCAGGAGAGTGAAAAAGGCTTCTCTGGAGAAGGTAAATTGCAAAGGAGGTAACAAGAGATGCTGAGGAAGCTAAATTCCTCTTCAAGCATCCTACAGTGAAGCCTGACAAGGGATATTCTGTCAAGCTCTGCCTATATACACAAAAATTCCAATAAGCTTTTTTTTTTTTTGGTGCTGGGGATTGAACTCAGGGCCTTGTGCATGCAAGACAAGCACTCTACCAACTGAGCCATATCCCCAGCCCTATTTTTTTTTTTTAATATTTATTTTTTAGTTTTTGGCGGACACAACATCTTTGTATGTGGTGCTGAGGATCGAACCTGGGCCGCACGCATGCCAGGCAAGCGCACTACCGCTTGAGCCACATCCCCAGCCCCCCTATTTTCTTTTTAATATTTACTTTTTAGTTGTAGTTAGACACAATACCTTTATTTTACTTATTTTTATGTGTGAGGCTGAAACCTAGGACCTCGCAAGTGCTAGGCAAGCACTCTGCAGCTGAGCCATAACCCCAGCCCCCTATTTTCTTTTTTTATTGAGGTATAACTTATTTCTTCTTTTTTCCTTTGAGGTGTAACTTATAAACCATAAAAAGCATAAACCTTATAGGAAAAGCTTGATAAATTTTTAAAATGCATAAACCCAAGTAATCATCAGTTAGCTTTTTTAAAAATATTTATTTTTTAGTTATAGATGGACACAGTATCTTTATTTTTATGTAGTGCTGAGGATCAAACCCAGTGCCTCACACATGGTAGGTGAGCGCTCTACCCTTGAGCCACAACCCCAGGCCATCAGTTAGCTTTTTAGTGTATCATTATTAAACATGAAGGAGCTGAGTCCAGGATTACTAGATGACTAAAGTAAAGTCTCCAACTTGAAAAACAGACAAACTGAAAAAAAAAAAAGAACTTGGAGAAATAGAGTGTATGCAAGAAAAAGAAAAACATTTTAAAATAAACATATCAAACAACAATATAATACATATAAGTAACAAAAACAGGATATTAGAGAATAAGAAAGGTCAGGGCATAATTAGTCCGAAAATTAACATTATGACAGCTGAAATAATCAACTGAATTTCCCAGAAAGATCAAGAAGAGAAGATAAAACAACCTTGGGTTCACTCTCACTTTTACCTAATGGGAACTTCAGGAAAAAAGGAAAAAAAAAAGAGTATAAAGGAGATTATGCAGGAACTAACGTAAGAAAATTTCACAGAACTAAAGGACACGTGTATCTACGTAAGGACCTTCTGGATTTGAAATGCAAAATAAAACAAACAAATGGTATCACAGTAAAATTTCAAAATCCCAAGGATAAAGTAAAAGTAAAGATTCTAAAAATTTCTAAAAAGGGACACAAAACTGATCATAAACACTGGCTCAAAAATGAAGATGGAATCAGATTTTACAAAAGCCACTCTGGAATTTGGAGGATTATGATGTAATACTTCAAAACACCAATGACTTTTAATCTGTAATCCTATATATCAAGTCAAGCTATCGATATACCAAGTTCAAGTATCAGAAAAGAAAAAATCATACATTTAAGAATTTAAAAATCTAAAAAAATTCATTGTAGGGGCTGGGGTTGTGGCTCAGCGGGATAGAATGCTCGACTAGCACGTGCAAGGCCCTGGGTTCATCCTCAGCACCATATAAAAATAAATAAATAAAACAAAGGTACTGTGTCCAACTACAACAAAAATTAAATATTAAAAATAATTCATTATATTATTAGGGACATGTCTGCACAGGCTGGGCAATTTACCATGTTCATAGACAATATTGTGAGACACTGATTTATTAATCTTCCTCTGCCCAAAGACAAAGCATAGGAAAAAAATTTCTAGACTCATTTGTCAAACAACAGAATCCAAATTTACATAGTCTTGGGAATTATAGATACATTTAGGAATTAGCATGCAGCTAGCATACAGAAGGAATTATGGTCACTAATTAGCATGCAAGGCTTTGAAATTAATATTATTTCAAAAAGAGATAACATTAAACTTCAGAAATTCAAATATATATGCTCCTGGACTTACAACTGAAGTATATCCTGATTAAAAAAAAAACCTAGGTTAGGTTGAAAAACTTTTGTTTTGGTATTGGGAATTGAACCTGGAGGCACTTTAACCACAGAGCTAAATCCACAATCCATTTATTTATTTATTTAGTTGTTTGTTTGTTTGTTTGTTTAGTATCGAGGACTGAATTCAATGTTGCCTAACCACTGAGCCATATCCTAAGTCCTTTTTATTTTGAGTCAGGATCTCACTAAGTTGCTTAGGGCCTCACTGAGCTGCTGAAGCTGTCCTCGAACTACTTTTTCGTTGTTCTTTTGAGATATACATGACAGTAGCTGTATTTTGGCATATTATACATACATGGAGTATAACTTATTCTAATTAGGATCCTATTCTTGTGGTTGTACATGATTTGGGATTATCCTAGTCCTGTATTAATATATAAGAATAGGAAAGCTACGTCCAATTAGTTCTACTATCTTTCCTATTCCCATCCTCCTCCCTTCCTTTCATTCTCCTTTATCTAGTTCAATGAACTTCTATTCTTTCCCTCCCCACCCTCCCTTGTTGTGGATAAGCATCCACATATCAGAGAGAACATTAGCCTTTGTTTTTTTGGGATTGGCTTATTTCACTCAGCATGATGTTCTCCAGTTCCATCCATTTACTGGTAAATGCCATTTCATTCTTCTTTTTGGCTGAGTAATATTCCACTGTGTATATATACCACATTTTTTTTTTAAAATATTTATTTATTTATTTATTTTAGTTCTCGGCAGACACAACATCTTTGTATGTGGTGCTGAGGATCGAACCCGGGCCGCACGCATGCCAGGCGAGCGTGCTACCGCTTGAGCCACATCCCCAGCCCAATATATACCACATTTTTAATCCAATCATCTGTTGAAGGACACTACGGTTGGTTCCGTGACTTGGCTATTGTGAATTGAGCTGCTATGAACATTGATGTGGCTGCGTCACTGTAATATGCTGATTTTAAGTCCTTTGGGTATGAACCAAGGAACGGGATAACTGAATCAAATGATGGTTCCATTCCAAGTTTTCTAAAGAATCTCCATACTGCTTTACAAAGTGGTTGCACCAATCAGCAGTCCCACAAGCAGTGCATGAGTGTACCTTTCCCCCCACATTCTCAACAACATTTATTGTTACTTTTATTCTTTATAATTGCTGGCCTTGAACTTGTGATTCTTCTGCCCCAGCCTCCTGAGTTGCTGGGGTTACAGGCATGCACCATCATGCCCAGCCTAAAAATATTTTAAGTTGAAATGTATTTAATACAACTAACCCACAGAACATCATAGCTTGACCTAGCCTACATTAAACATGACCAGGCCAGGTGTAGCAGTAACACATGTAATCTTAGCTACTTCCAAGGCCAAGGCAGGAGGATCACAAATTCAAAGCCAACCTTAGCAACTTAAGAAGACCCTATCTCAAAAATAAAATAAAAAGAGCTAAGGAGGGCTGGGGTTGTGACTCAGCAGTAGAGCGCTCGCTTTGAATGTGAGAGACCGGGTTCGATCCTCAGCACCACATAAAAATAAATACACAAAATAAAGATATTGTGCAGCTATAACTGAAAAAATAAATTAAATTTAAAAAATAAAAAAAATGGCTAAGTATATAGCTCAGTAGTAGAACACTCCCAAGGCTAGGCCCCAAGTTAAATCCTCAGTACTAGGTGGGGAAAAATGTAATCAGAACCCTACATTAGCCTGCATTTAGGCAAAATCCTTTAACACAGAGCCTATTTTTTAATAAAGGGTTGAATATGTCATGTGATTTATTGACTACCATGTTGAAAGTGAAATATAGAATGATTACATGGTACTCAAAGTTATGTTCTACTGAATGTGTAATGCTTTCACATCATCATAAAGTCAAAATATCAAAAATCACAGACTGTGTATTTATAACAGAACTTCTTAGAAAAGATCTAGGGAAGACTCTTTCACTGTTAATAATGCAGGTCAGGATGGTAAGAAATGTAGTAATTCCTAGGGTCTCACTTCAATAAGTAAAGAGGAACCATTTGTAGCCTTTGTTTACTTAAAGAGGAGTATCTGGGGGCCAAGGTTGTAGCTCAGTGGGAGCACTTGCCTAGCATGTGTGAGGCATGGGGTTCAATCCCTGGCACCACATAAAAATAAAAACAAATAGAATAAAGGTATTGTGTCCATCTACAGCTAAAAAAAAAAAAAAAAAAAATTAAAGTTTGGAAAAAAAAAAGGAGTATCTGGGGTTGGGGGTATAGTTCAGTGGTAGAGCACCTGCCTAGGATGAGGGTTCCATCCCCAGCACCACACAGAAAAAGTCTAAAAACAGAAAAAGATATCTGTTCTGTAGATATTAAAATAACAATACCCTTATACAAAGGTCTTATAAAGGGTTAATATTTAGGTGAATGTCCACAGGCATATCTTCTTTCACAAAAATCAGTCATCAAACTGGCGATTACCTTACATAGCAAGGTCAAAAAAATAACTTAAGATACTTATCACATGCTAAATGCAATTTCAAGCTATGGAAACTAGTCTCTAATAGAATGTAAAGACAAAAGCAGTGCCCAGAAAAAAAGCTAGCTGTAAACACCTAATTTAAAAAAAAAAAAAGAAAAGAAAAGAAAGAGGCTGGGCAATGTAGCTCAGTGCTAGAACACTTGCCTAGCATGCAGAAAACCCTGGGCTAAATCCTCAGCTACACACACACACACACACACACACACACACGATCTCAAATCAATCAGTTAATGCTACTCCATAAAAGAACAAACTAGTGGTGTCACGCACCTGTGATACCAGTGACTTGGGAGGTTGAGCTGGGAGTATTACAAAAATTGAGGCAAGCCTGGGAAATTTAGAAAGACTGTTTCAAAAATAAATTTAAAACAAAACAAAACAAAATGCCAGGGATATAGCTCAGTGGTACAGCACCACTGGGTTTAATCCCAGTACCAAAAACAATAATAATAATACACATTAATAGAATCAAAGAGGAAAAGCAAGTGCTCATTTCAATTAAAGAGAAAAAAGGTTTAAGCCAGGCACGATTACACCTGTAATTCCAGCAGTTTAAGAGGCTGAGGCAGGAGGATTGCAAGTTCAAAGCCAGCCTCAGTAACTAAGCAAGGCCCTAAGCAACTTAGTGAAACCCTGTCTCAAAATAAAAAATTAAGGCGGCCAATTTGGAAAGCAGTATGGATATTCCTGGGAAAGCTGGGAATGGAACCACCATTTGACCCAGCTATTGCCCTTCTCGGACTATTCCCTGAAGACCTTAAAAGAGCGTACTATAGGGATACTGCTACATCAATGTTCATAGCAGCACAATTCACAATAGCTAGACTGTGGAACCAACCTAGATGCCCTTCAATAGATGAATGGATTAAAAAAATGTGGCATTTATACACAATGGAGTATTACTCAGCACTAAAAAATGACAAAATCATGGAATTTGCAGGGAAATGGATGGCATTAGAGCAGATTATGCTAAGTGAAGCTAGCCAATCCCTAAAAAACAAATGCCAAATGTCTTCTTTGATATAAGGAGAGCAACTAAAAACAGAGCAGGGAGGAAGAGCATGAGAAAAAGATTAACATTAAACAGGGACGAGAGGTGGGAGGGAAAGGGAGAGAGAAGGGAAATTGCATGGAAATGGAAGGAGACCCTCATTGTTATACAAAATTACATATAAGAGGATGTGAGGAGAAAGGGAAAAAAAAATCAAGGGATAAAATTAATTACAGTAGATGGGGTAGAGAGAGAAGATGGGAGGGGAGGGGAGGGGGGATAGTAGAGGATAGGAAAGATAGCAGAATACAACAGTCACTAGTATGGCAATATGTAAAAACGTGGATGTGTAACCGATGTGATTCTGCAATCTGTATACGGGGTAAAAATGGGAGTTCATAACCCACTTGAATCAAATGTGTGAAATATGATATGTCAAGAGCCTTGTAATGTTTTGAACAACCAATAAAAAAAAAAGAAAAAATTAAGGCCTACAGATGTGTCTAAATCGTTAAGTGCCCCAGGTTCCACCTCTAATAAAAAAAAAAAAAATTGACAAAATCCAACACACAATGTTCAAAAATCAAGAACAGAAGGAAACCTGCTCATTGTAATACAGAGCATTTACAAAAACCCATAGCAAGGGCTGGGGCTGTAGTGTAGTGGTCGAGCACTTGCCTAGCATGTGTGAGGCACTGGGTTCAATTCTCAGCACCACATACATACATACATACATACATACATAAATAAAAGTATAAAAAATACAATAACATTAAAAAAAACACAAAGTTTGTTCTCTCTGCTTGAGTCTTACTTTACTTTCTCCTATGATAAAGTTCTCTTGCATAGCAATAAATAAATAAAATTAAAAACACGCATAGCTAACATCATATTCAATGGTAAAAGAATAAAACAGGGCTGGAGATGTGGCTCAAGCAGTAGCACACTTGCCTGGCATGTGCGGGGTGCTGGGTTCGATTCTCAGCACCACATAAAAATAAAAAAAATAAAGATGTGTCCACTGAAAACTAAGAAAATAAATAAATAAAAAACAAAATGTTTCTTTAAAAAAAAGAATAAAAACATTTTCCCTATACAAAAAGTAGAGACAATGCAAATGTTCATCAACAAATGAGTGAACAAACAAATTTTGGTACATCAATACAACAGAATATCATTCAACCATAAAAAGGATGCTACAGGATGAATGAACTTGTAAAATATTATGCTAAATCAAAGAAGTCACACAGAAAAAGTTAACATGTTATATACAATTGCAATTATAGGAAACATCCAGAACAGGTAATCCATACAAACATAAAGCAGATTAGTGGTTGCTCGAGAATAGGAGGAGAGGGTAATGGGGTATAAGTGTTTAATGGGCTGAGGGGTTTTCTTTTGAGGTGATAAAACTGTTTTAGAACTAGATAGAGGTACTAAGTAGCTGCACAACCCTGTGAATATACTAAACATTACTGAGCCGGGCATGGTAGTGCCCGTATTTAACCCCAATGGTTAAAGATACAGGAGGAACGAAAGTTCAAAGCCAACCTCAGCAACAGAAGGCACTCAGCAACTCAGTAAGACCCTATCTCTAAATAAAATACAAAATATGGCTGGGGATGTGGCTTAGTTTAGTAGTCAAGTGCCCCTGAGTTCAATCTCCAGTACCCCAAAAAAGGTTACTAAATTGTACATTTTAAAATAATCAATCTTAAAATCACGAATGTATACACTTTAAAATCATCAACTTTGGGCTGGGGTTGGGGCTCAGTGCTAGAGCACTCACTTATCATGTATGAGGCACTGGGTTTGATCCTCAGAATCACATAAAAATAAAATATAGTGTCCACCTAAAACTAAAAAATACATATTTTTAAAAAAAGGTCAGGGGTTGTGGCTCAGTGTTTGAGCGCTTGTCTAGTATGTGTGAGGCACTAGGTTCGATCCCCAGCACCACATAAAAATAAACAAACAAATAAAGGTATATACATATATATATATATATATTTATATATATATATAAAAATATATAGTATATATAGTATATATTTATTTATATATATATATATATATATATAAATGTCCATCTACAACTAAAAAAAATTTTTTTAATTAACTTTAAAATCATGAATTTGACCTGAATATTATTTTTAAAAATCTAAGTAGAACACACAGAAAGCAACAGACTTCAGTTATAAATGCCCCAGATGTTTTTGTTTTCTCACTATATATACTCTCTAAAAATAACACTTTACCTTTTCAATGTGCCTCTTGTTTTCTCACAAATTTTTGTGTTTTCTTAAATTTCTACTATCATCATCAAAATATAAGTGTTGTTTTACTCTCTAGAAATTATGTTTTACCTTTTCACCCTGTGCCTCTTGTTGTTTTTTCCTCACAAGTTTTTGTCTTTTCTCATTCTTCTCTTCTTCTTCTAAAACATCAAAATCATAAACGTGCTTTTTAATTCCCAAGTATCAATAAGTCACATGGTACAGTCTGTAGATTTTAACATTTTTGAAGAGACAAGTAGCCTTTGAAAAACAGATTATATTTTTTCAAGTAATGAAAATGAAGTACATGCAAACAGTTGGAAATACAGAAATCTGCACATAAAATCTTAAAGGCTCTGTTCTGAAACAATTCTCCACTAAGTATTATTGTATGTAATAGTTTCTGCTAAAGAGGCTTCCAGAATATTTTCATGAGTTTTCTTCTGAAGGTCCCAATAGGATTTCAGCAGCTCTGAGGCACAGCATGGAAGCCCATTACTGCAATGTGAAGTGTGGAATGCTGCACTTCAGGCATGAAGTGTCATCTGTTGCCCTTAAACATGACAGTAAAAGTCCCTAAAGGTATGTGTGCTTGTCAGCTCTTAAAATGACTGAACCACTATTAGGTTACTATCCATTGAATGTGAAGAAAAAGTATTTTTGCTTCTTTTTTTTTTTTTTTCTTCTGGTACTAGGGATTGAATCCAGGGGCACTCTATCTCTGAGCTACATCCCCAGTGCTTTTAATTTTTATTTTGAGATAAAGTCTTGTTAAAATGCCTGGGTAGCCTTGAACTTGCAATTTTCCTGCCTCACCCTCCTGAGTTGCTGGAATTACAGGCATGTGCCACTACTTCCAACTCCCTTTTAAGTATGTAGCTTGATTATTTTGTTTGTCTTTTCTTTTTTTTATTTTTTTGCAGTACTGGGAATTAAACCCAGGGCCTCAACACATGCAAGGCAAGCACTCTACCAATCAGGAATCTAAGATGGGAGCATCTTAAGTTCGAGTCCAGCCTGGGCAAATTAGTGAGACTCTTAAAATCTATAAATAAATAAAATTTTAAAATCCAACTGAGTCATTTTAAGTTTAAGAAACCAAACAACTTCCAAAAGAGGGGGAAATTATGATTGGGAAACCCTGAAACATCTATGTTGTCACTTATGTTTGGGTTGAAAAGGATTACCAAATGGATGTTTGTTTGGTAGCGGGAATTGAACCCAGAAATCCTTAAGCACTGAGCCACATCTCCAGCACTTTTTACATTTTATTTAGAGACAGGCTCTTACGAAGTTGCTCCAGGCTTCACTAAATTGCTGACACTGGTTTTAAACTTTTGATCTTCTGCCTCAGCCTCCCAAGCCCCTGGGATTAAAGGTATGCACCACTCCTGGATTTTTTCATGAATAATGCAAAAGGCTTTGAATTAAGCACTGCTCATTTTCTTATTTATTTACATTTAAATAAACAACTTTTAATAATGTACCAAATTCATTACTGGTGACTTTTTTCCTAATTGCATATAAAATATAGCTAAGTATGTCCAGTAGATGCAGTCTGAGTGTGCATCTACTGGACATAAAGCTTAAGGTGTAAGACTTCTGATCTGACATTTGAACTTAGCCTGCAAAGGGAATGTCTGTCATTAGCCTGTAATGATTAAGTGTGTTTTGCAGTGCTTAGAATTAATCTAGAATTGTTTGCTGTGAATTAATTAATCCCTGCTGTCAATTGATTACAGTGCCTAGCATTAAGGACTGTCATTTTCTTGATTAAGAACCTATAGAGTGAAATTGTATTGAGTAATTTGAGTGAATAAAGCATTGAAAGGAGCAGAAGCACATGGACATTCTTTATTTCTCCCCTCGACTACATACATCGAAATTTTGCCTCCTCGAGACAGCGGGGTACTGGGGATTGAACTCAGGGGCACTCAACCACTGAGCCACATCCCCAGCCATTTTTTGAATTTTATTTAGAGACAAGGTCTCATTGAGTTGCTTAGTACCTATTGCTGAGGCTGGCTTTGAATTCTAGATCCTTCTGCCTCAGCCTCCTGAGCCACTGAGATTATGGGCATGCACCACCACGCCCGGCACAATATAGTTTTAAAAGGCTTCTATAGAAAATCATGAATTCTTAAAATGTGGTAAATATACACAATGGAATACTGAGCCTTAAAGAAGAATGAAATTATGGCATTTGCAGGTAAATGGATGGAGCTGGAGACTACTGTGCTAAATGAAATAAGCCAATCCCAAAAAACCAAAGGCCAAATGTTTTCTCTGACATGCACATTCTGATCCATAATGGAGGAGGGGGTGGGGTAGAAGGTGGCTAGGGAAGAATGGAGGAACTTTGGATTGGGCAGATGGGAATGAGGGGAGGGAAGGAGGTGTGGGGGTGGGAAGCATGGTGGAATGAGAGGGACATTATTACCCTAAGTACATGTATGACTGTACAAACGGTGTGACTCCGTGACAGCGAAATGAGAAGTTGTGCTCCATTTGTGTACGATGAGTTGACATGTGTTCTGCTGTCATATATAATTAATTAGAACAAATTTTTTTAAAAAATCATAAACTCTCGGGCTGGGGTTGTGGCTCAGTGGTAGAGCGCTCGCCTCACACATGCAAGACCCTGGGTTCGATCCTCAGCACCACATACAAAAATAAATAAGTGAAATAAAGGTGTTGTGTCCAACTACAACTAAAATAATAAATAAATAAATATTTTTTAAAAAATCATAAACTCTCACTTGTCCAAACAGAAACAAAAATAGAATGAGCATGATTTCCTAGGCACCCAACTATATACAGGACCTATGTGCCTGAAGAAAAACTGCTGTAATTGCAATAAAAAATTAGGATGAAAGGGTGTTAGAGATTAATGACAGATATACCTACTCATTGTATAATATTTTACAAATTGATGTATCAAATAGTTAAGTAACACAAATGCACAATTTAAAATTAGAGAATTTAGAATGTAACAAACTTAAAAATGACAGAGCTTCAAAAATATATATAAGGAAAAATGTAGTTTCTCATTAAAATGTTGGAATTTATAATCCATTCAAAATAATCATCAAGGTCATATGCCATGACATACACCTGTAATCTCACCAACTCAGGAGGCCAAGCTTCAGTAACTGAGCAAAATCCTCAGCAACTTAGTGAGACGCTCTCTCAAATAAAAAACAAAAAAATAATAACAAAACAAAATAATCGTCAATATAGTTATACATTAGTCAAATTAATGGCAAACTGGCTCTTATTGTGTAATATTGTAGAATAAGTAAAGAAAGTTGAATAGAAAAGTTTAAAGGGTAGCATAAATAAACTTACCTTTCAGATAAGCTTGGGAAGATTTAAATGAGTTAATTAATGAGGTAGCCATGGAAATAATTAAAGTAAGGAGAGCAAGCAGCAAGAAAACTCGGCCACATAGCATGATGAGATCTTTAATTCCTTTTAAAGAAACAAAAATTAAAATTAGACACACTTTTCTTGGTAAGAATAACAGAAGATTATTTGTATAAAAATAAAATTAAGTTATGCAACTGTCTTAGGATTTCTTCCAAATATTCTCCTTTGGGCACTAAAATTCATCATGGTTGTCATTACCAGAATAAATTTTCAGAAACTAATTCTAGATAAATGTCTTCTGGTATAATTATGGTGATCAGCTATATTATAAATATCATAATAATCAATAATGTATAAGTCATACTTTCCTTTCTACCCAGGACACGGGTCACACACATGTAATCCCAGCAGCTCAGGAGGCTAAGGCAGGAAGATTGCAAATTCAAGGCCATCCTCAGCAATTTAGAAAGGCCCTATTTAACTTATCAAGACCATTTCAAAATAAAAAAATAAAAAGGGGGGCTGGGGCTTTAGCTCAGTGGTAAAGCGCTTGCCTCGCATGTGTGAGGCACTAGGTTGGATCCTCAGCACCACATGAAAATAAATATACTTTATATTCATCTACAACTAAATAAATATTAATAAATAAATAAATAAAGGCTGGGGATATGGCTCAGTGGTTAAGCACCCCTGGGCTCGATCCTTGACACCAAAAAAATAAAAAAGTTACTTGGCAGAGATTTGAATGAACCATGATACCAACATGATCAGGGCTCATAGTTTGTCTTAACTAAAGATTAAAGAAGGGGGCTGTGGTTGTGGCTCAGGGGTAGGGCGCTTGCCTAGCATGCGTGAGGCACTGGGTTCGATCCTCAGCACCACATACAAATAAAATGAAGATACTGTGTCCACCTAAAACTAAAATAAATAAATATTTTTAAAAAAAGATTAAAGAAGGAATTACAAAAATGTATAGATATAGACTTAAATGTTTTATTTTTAACAGAAAACAGATGTTATTCCTTCTTTTATAAACTACAATTTAAAATTGTTTAGAGATCTTTTTTCTTTTCACATCACAGCTCCTCCAACTTTCGAGGGTAGTAACTATTGATTCAGATATTTGATGGAACACATAAATAAATCTGGGTTATCTCTGGCCATTACAAAAGCAATATAATACCTAGAGTACTATTACATAGAAAAATCATTGAGTTGTGGGATGTTTCATAATATGGAAGCAAAATGGATATATCACATAGGAACATGAAAAAAAATAGATTTGTGTGTACTACTTTCAAGTTAAAAATGTTTAAATAAAGGTTTATTTGGTACCTAAACTCTAGAAACCAAAAGCAGGGCACTTTGAAAGATAAGAAAGCAGTCTCAAAATATTTAGCTTAAGTACAAGTAAAATGTATTGGTAGGAAGTTGGGGATATAGCTCAGTGGTAGAGCATCCTAGGGTTCAATCCCTAGTAATGTAAAAGAAAGTTTTAAAAAAGAATCCAAAGGAAACTACCAGTTCACAACAAAGGATTCTAGGAAAAAGTGTTAATTAAGTTAGTCAAATAAAAATTTCAGGAACTATGAGCTCCGCCAGGAGCCCACTTGCAATTTCTGGAACTCTTAACCTAGCTTTATTAATTTAGACAATAAATTCTGAGAATATAAAAACAAATTAGGTGTGGTTGCTACCCTCAAGAAGTATATTTCCCAGAGATCAGAGCTGATGGGGGAACAGGTCTCCTTTGATAAGCTAAGGGGTGTCCTTCTCATTGACTAGTGACTTAAATATCAGGGTAAAATAGAAAGATTCTAAAGGAGCCGGGCATGGTAGCATATGCCTGTAATCCCAGTGACTCAGGAGGCCAAGGCAGAAGGATCTCAAGTTTAAGGCCAACCTCGGCAATTTAATAAGATGCCTTAAAATAAAACACTAAAAGAACTCAGGACATGGCTCAGTAGTAAAACTAAATGCTGAAGGAATAGAGGAATGACTGCTGTAAAGGCAAGGAAGCAGGTGAATTTTGCAATAAAAGATGAGTGTAAATTTCACTTCTCTGCATATCATCTGTGTAAAGGTCTTGATATCTTTCAATACAGCTTGAGTAAGGAGAGTCTTGTAAATTTTTTTAAAGTATTTTATTTCACTTCTTATTTCAAGCAACATTTTGGGCCCTGACTTCCAGAGGTGAGGAGGAAGTGTTGAAAAAGAATGGAGATATACAAGGATAATGAACTGAGTGTAAGAAAAGAGGCTGACATGTGAACTAATTATACCCGGAAAAACAATTCCTGACTCTCCACACCCTTACAATTTTCCTTCCAGTTTTCTCTTCACCAACAGCACTACTAACAAAATTCAAATGTCTGGACCCATGTTCTGTAGCCCAGCATTGGCAGGAAAGAAATCAGGTTTATTCAAGGCCAGCCCTGAAGAAGATACAGGGGGTAACTCCTTCAATCTCTAACATGCTGGGCTCAGGAGGGTGAAGGGTTGTTATGGTGAGATAAGGAAACAGGGAGGCTACAGGCTGTGTGGGTCCTTCCTCAATAAGGGTCAAAGCCTTATCACAATGGATTTTGACCTCTTGCAGTTAGTTACCAAGGCAGAGTGTTACAAAGACCATCAAAGTTCTCTGAATCTAAATAAAGTATTCAGGTGAGGCCTCTCCTCAGAATTTGGATTATTACAATAAGGCCTCTCCTTGGAATTTAGAACTCCAGGTAAAAAAGGAAGTAATGCCAAAGGATTAGGAAGGGAAGGTGAAAGTAATCCTGCTAGGACAACTTTCAGAAGGGGCTGCCCTGTTACAAATCCCCATGCAGGAGTCATGCTTGAATTCTTCCTTTCCCTCACTCCAAACATCAATTCATCAACAGAGTTGTTGATTCTACTTTGTCAATATCCCAAATCTTTCCAAATCTGTTACCCTGGTCCAGACCATCATCACGACTTACATCATCACGAGATATACAAGGATAATTTGCCTCACTGCTTTCAACTATAGGTTCCTTTCAAAACATTCTCCACAGAGAGTCCACAATGACCTTTTCAAAATCTCTAAGAAGTCACTTATCTTCCCCGGGTCTCAGTTCCCTGGGGGCTTAGAGGATCAGGGTTGTAGGGCAATCAACTAGATAACAGACTGCACTTAGTGATTGGCTTATCATTGGGGTTGAACAAATATTTTTATCTTGAGACTCCCACCGCCAACCCCAGTCCTTGATCTTGCCACAATGACCTTCATCTTTTTTCCTCCAATGTACCATCCTTTTGCCTGGAATATCCTCCCCCCTCGCCCCCCACTGGCTTTTCATGGGCGTGGTTCTCCACCACATAAATAAAGCTCTACTTAAATTCCTAAGAAAGCTTTCATCCTATCAACCAGCTGGTGTCCTTCCCAGCACTCGTCACAGTTTTGAGTGTACAGAGCTCTGTCCCTTTAGGCCTCGCCTCTAGTCCCCTCCCTCCCCCACAAAACTTGGCCCAATCTGCAGGAAACGCGTTCTGGCGCGGGGGAGCCAGGCGCGGGGCAGTCTGGGAATCGTAGTCACCGCCGCCCGGAGGCGCCACTGCCAGGAACCAGGTAATTCTACACAACATTCACGTGAAAATTTCCCAGCTGTGAGCGCCAAGCGGGGGAAGCCGACCTTACCTAAGTCCGGGATCCCACGCCGGAGCTCCAGACACAAAAGGGGGAGCGCAGCGAGCAAGAAAATGCCAACGACCCCTCGAGAAGCCATAGCGGCGGCCGCCCGGCGACCAGGAGCAGAGCCCGCCCCTTCCGGACGCACCTTCTCAGGAGCGCGGAGTGGAGTCCTTCCTACCCAAGGAATTTGCTGGGGACCGACCCCGAGGCTGGCTCGTTGGTCAGGCTGAGCTAAGCCCCTCTGGTTTTGAACTCATAGTTCTTGTCTCAGAAGAAATACAGGTCAGCGCCCCATCACATGATGTCCAGGGTTCTTAGGGTGGTGGCCTTCTGGAGGCTGAGCAAGCTCTCGGTCTGTCTTGACTGTGTAGTCTAAAAAGAGCTCTCGAGAGTGAAATAAGATGAAGGGAAAGTGCAGGAGCAGTTGACCTTGTGAGGAAGTGGCCTAGCCCCTTACCTTTTGGTAGTAGGAGGTGATTGAGGGCTTTCAGATCCTCGCTTACTAAGCAACTTATCTCCCCAACAGTTCCTGCGGCTTCTTTTGAAGTGGGGCCTGGCACCAAATACCTGCCCATTCCCACACACCCTAATGCCTGATACTGTACACCTGCCACCCTTTCCTCTCCTTTTCAGTTTTGCCTTCTCGTGTTACTGTTAATGACTGAACCTTAGCCTCATTTTATGACCTCATTGCCATCCCGTGACTCACCTCTGGTGCTACTCTGAACCTACAGCTCAGTTAGGCTATGGAGGTCCTCCCAAACAACAAGATTTCATATTCAAAATTCCCTTTTCCAGCCGGGCATGGGGTGAATGGCTGTAATCCCAATGTGAGGCAAAAGGATAGCAAGTTCTAGGCCAGCCTGGACAATAGCGAAACCCTGTCTCAAATAAAATTTTTAAAGAGCTTTTAATTAGCTCACTTGTAGGGTGCCCCAGGTTTAATCCCACAACAACAACATAATTTCCCTTTTATGACCAATTCATCAACCTCCCACTCACCTTTCTATTTGTTTTGTAGTACCCAGATTGAACCCAGGGATGCTCTACCTCTGAGCTATATCCCCAAACTTTTCAAAAGCTCATCTTGAGATAGGGTCTTGCTAAATATCCAAGGATGTCCTCAAATTTGTAACTTTACTGCCTCAGCCTTTGTAGTGGCTGGGATTACAGGGCTAGCCACCATACCTGGCCTCACCCTTTGATTTTGTTCAAGTAACATTGAATGCCATGCCTTGCCTAGTACTATATAACTCAAGGAAGTTCAAATATGTGAGTTATTGACTATGTCCTCAAGAAACAGCTTAGCTAGGTGTGGTGGTGCCCATCCCCAGTACTGCAAAAAAGAAAAACAAACACAGAAACTTGATTTGGTGGGAAATATATCCCTGTAAACACAAAAATACAATACAGTACCTGTGTGCTCTGACAGGTTATGTACTACAGAACCATATGCTGTAGACTGGGGAAGCAGTTCATAAGCAGATATACCTAAAGTGTGCTTTAAAGGTTAGAAATTAGAAGTTAGGAATTTGGGCAGCAGGATCTTAAGAGAAAGCGTGGGATTTCAAATTTAGGAAACAGTGCAGATGAACCACCAGTAATTAAAATATTGTGCAGTTTAAGCAAGTACTGTACCACTGAGCAATACCGCCAACCCCCTGTTGCTGCAGTTTAAAGATTGAATAGAAGTGCTTAGAGGTAGGTTGGAGCAAGGATCACAAAAGCTGCTTTGTGTGAGAGGGCCAGATTTTTTTTAAAATATTTTTTTAGTTGTAGATGGGCACAATACCTTTATTTACTTTTATGTGTTGCTGAGGATCAAACCCAGTGCCTCACACACGCAAGGCGCACGCTCTACCACTAAGCCACAATCCCAGCCCCAAAACTACTTTGTGTATAGGCCAAGAACTTAGTCTGCAAAAAGGTGCAAAGCAGGGCTAGGGATGTGGCTCAGTGGTAGAACCCTTGCCTAGCATGCACAAGGCACTGGCTTTAGTCCCCTACAATGAAAAAAAAATGTATATATAGTAAGTATGTAAGCACAATCTGAAACTAATAAGGAATTACAACATGGCTTACCAAGAAACCATACTGACTCACTCAGATGTTCCCATTGCTGTCTGTTTCTATCCAATGTCCATTATGCCTGAGGCCAGGGAAAGGGGTGAGTTCTACAATTCTTACCAGCTTCATTTGGTATGATTTCCTCCTTCAGATATTTTTTTCTTCCTTGCTAACTTCCATCTTCTATTGATGATGACACAGAATTTTTATCTGGACCAAAAGGTGGAAGTTTACAACTACTCCAGATTTGCTTTGACTCTTACCATGTAACCACCACAACAAAAAGACTACCAGAGAACCTGATCAATACTTAAACTGAGTTTCTTAAGTGCAATTAAGGGAGAATGCTACTTTGATGTAATTTTGAGTAGTATCTCAGAGGATAGGTAAAAGATGTGTTTTGTTTTGTTTGTTTTTGTAAGGATTTAACCAAGGGGTGCTCTACCACCAAACTACACCCCAACCCTTTTTTTAAATTTTTATTTTAATTTTATTTGAGACAGTCTCGATAAATTGCTGAAGCTCCAACCCCATCCCTTTTTATTCTAAGACAGGGTCTGGCTAAATTGCTGAGACTGGCTTTAATTTGCAATCATCCTGCCTCAGTCTCCTCAGTCCCTGGGATTACAGTTGTGAGCCACCACACCTGCCTATCAGGTTTTTTTGTGGTATTGGAATTGAACACAGGACCTCAAGCATGCTAGGCAAGTGCTCTACCACTGAGCTACATCTCTAGCCCCTCAGATATTTTCTCATAGAAAATTTGACTAACACCACCTCCCATTAGACCACCTCTCAGGACCACCATGCTAGGGATCAAGTTTCCAATACATGAACCTTTGGAGGAACACACTCAAGCCATATCAAAACCTTAGCATCTCTCAAACCCTCCATCTTTTCCTCAATCTTATTTTTGAAGCATTTCAAAGTTGAAAACATTAGTACAATTTCCCCCAAATACTTCAGTATGCATATGTCACATGCATATGTATGGGAGCCTAAAGGTCACCTCTGCCCATCTTAGTTCTTAGTTGATATACCTATAATACAAGACAAACTAACAAGAGAAGTATGAAGTTTATTAGTGTGGATAGTATACTCAATGACTTAGAACTCTGGCTTATGCTGGGAATTTTATCACAGTATTTGTTTTTGTGGTGCTGGGAACTGACACTGTTTTTATAATTTATGTATTCCCTTTTTGACCATATATTAAGTTTCCTACAAAGAATGCGGTTTTTTTTATTATTATTATTATTGTTTTGTTTTGTTTTGTTTGGCGGTGCTGGGGATGGGACCCATTCAAGTTAAGCACTCTACCAACTGAGCTATATCCCCAGCCCCATGTGTTTTCTTTTTTGAGGCAAGGTCTGGCTATGTTGCCCATGTTAGCCCCAACTTAGTGATTCTCCTGCTTTGGACTGTGCCCAGCTTATTTTCACTTGAAGGGACAAAGACCTGAGGCAACTTTTGCTTCCTTTGAAAAACTCACTAACATGACAACAAAAAGATGTTAAGCCAGGTATGGTGGCACACACCTGTAATTCCAGCAACTCTGTGGTTGAAGTAAGTTCTCATCATTTTTTTTAGAATGTGCATGGATTTTTTTAATCACCCAAAGACAATTCCTTAAACAATTTAATCGAATGTGCCTTCTGATCATACTGCAGAAGAAGGACCAAAAGTTTGAGGCCAGCCTCAGCTATTTAAGCAAGGCCCTAATCAACTTAACAAGATAAAATAAAATTTTAAAGAGGCTGGGATATGTAGCTCGGTGATAAAGCACCCCTGGGTTCAATCCCCAGTACCAAAAAAAGATGTTAAAAGGTCCAAGCCCACAAGAATACAAGGAAGAAGAGAACAGAAACTGAGGGCTGGGGTTGTGGCTCAGTGATACAGCACTTGCCTAGCATGCATGGGGCACTGGGTTTGATCCCCAGCAACACATAAAAATAAAACAAAATAAAATAAAGGTATTGTGTCCATCTACAACTAAAAAAAAAATATTTTAAAAAAACAGAAACTAAAACTACAAAGGCAAAAAAAAAAAAAAACTTGGAGGATAACATGGAAAAGTGGCAAAGACTTATCAGACTCATGAAAATAGAACCCAAATTAGCCATAGATAAATGCTATACACTAAAATGATTACATGCAAAATCTTCAGAATACCAAGGAATTGGAAGCATCTCTGAAAATGAGTACAGGTAAAGAGGGAGCTAAACCAAAGACAAATAGTTAGAGAAAGTCCATTTAAAATGTAGTATCCCAGAAACCCCTTAACTATTTCTGTAAGACTGCTTCTCCTGATCCTCAGAAAAGATCTGAGATTTATTGGAAAAGGGAAAACAGAAGTCTCTATAAAGGAGACTATACAGGAGACATTTAAAAGCCTGACTATATTTGGGTTTGCTCTTTCATAGTCCCCTATACTTCTCCTTTAGAGGACTTACCACAGTCTTTAATTTAAAGATGGACACAATATCTTTATTTTATTTATTTTTATGTGGTACTGAGGATCGAAACTATTGCCTTGACATGCTAGGCAAACACTCTACCTCTGAGCTATAACCACAGCTCAGCAATCTTACATAACAATTATGCAGTTTTTACTTAAATATTGTTCTTCTCTACTACACTGTTAGGCTCATGAAGGCAGGGATATGTTTGTTCAGTTACTACTGTATTTTTAGTACCTTATAGAGTCATTTGCAAAAATAGTTAAGTAGACTGGCACAGTGGTGCACACCTGTAACCTCAGTGACTCCGGAGGCTGAGGCAGGAGGATTGTAAGTTGAAAGCCAGCTTCAGCAATTATGAAAGCCCTGTCTCAAAATAAAAAATTTTAAAATGGGTTGGGGTTGGGGCTCAGTGGCTAAGCACCCCTGAGTTCAATCCCCAGTATAAAAAAAAGTTTTACAGTAGATATTTTTGAATGAATGGATATATATATCCTAAGTAGCTAAATAGCTGAGATTACAAGTGTGCATCACTATGTCTGACCCAATTTCACTCCTTAACTCTAGGATCTATTCTTATTATCTGTGGATTAAAATATAAACACCACATTCTGGTTACAACCAAGGCTTTCCAGTACTCTCTCTCTTATTACCCCCTTTCAGCTACCTACTATCCACTCAATCTACACTACACTGCTTACTATTTCCAATTCCTGCTGGTTCATTTCCTCATCCTTTAAATTATCATTCTTTTTGACTTGCTTATCCCTTTTTGTCAGCCTCAGTTTTTTATATGCGAATACTAGTGATGTGAAGATTACCAGGCCAATTAACTCAAGCTGATTCTTAAAATTTTCTGAAGTGATTTCTGGGTACAATAAAAATAGGCTCACATCTGGGCTTGGTGGTACATGTCTGTAATCACAGCAATTTAGGAGGCTGAGGCTGGAGGATCACAAGTTCTAGGCCAGCCTCAGCAAATTAGTGAGACTTTAAGCAACTTGGTCAGACCCCATCTCAAAATTAAAAATTTACAAGGGCTGGGGATCCAGCTCAGAGGTAAAGTGACCCTAGGTTCAATGCCCAGTACCAAAAATTAAAATAAATAAAAGGTTTGGAGATGAACCTCAGTGTCACAATGCCCCTGGGTTCAATCCCCAGTTCAACAAAACAGCCTCCCGATTTCATGAAGAAACTGACTCTTAGGTTAAGGGGCTAAGAGTACCTGTGATGGGATGTGAATCTAAATTTCTCTGACTCAGAATCTATTCCTAATTACTTCAGTATATCTCTTATGAACAATAATATTCTC